TTGGGGTAGCTTACTATATTGACCATACACTACTTAGGTTGGAGAACTTTGTTTTTGAATCATTGTTTTGAATGAATTATATTTGCATCTTTGTTTTTTTAATTTTAAAAAATCAACTTTATACTTAAAATTTTGTAATACTCAATTCGTTTACAAATGGGTTGAGTCGGGTTAAAAATCTTTTCAGGACCATTGAGGTGGTCAACACTCACTTATTTAGAGAGAATGGCTAAAAATTAAGAAAAAATCTTCAAAAAAATACATTTGAATTTTCAAATTTTAAATTAGTCTTGTTCACTAAAAAGTAAATGACATCACATTTTTATAGCCATTCTTGATTTGAGATTTTGAAATTTTAGAGATTTTGTTTTTGGAATTTTTTCAAAAATTAAATGCCTAATAACATCTACTAGTTGGAATATTAATTAATATCTATTAGCACCCTAATATTCATGCCGAAATTAACGCAGTCTAATGAAATTTCAAATTTAATTAAATATACCGTCCTCTGCATCATCAGCGGAGAAGTTTTTAGTTTATATTTATATCTCCTATGTGTGTGTGTATATTTTAAAATCATACTACCTCCGGTCCTAATTATAAAACCCAGTTGACTTATTTGAAGAGATTAAGGAAGTAAGTTAAGTTAGTTATTTGTAATAAATAAGTGTTCTTATTCCTAAAATATCCTTGCTAATTAAGTGTATTGGCTAGAACTATCATTATTAGAAGGACTATCTTGGAAAAAAAATGCATAAATATGAGAGAAAAAATGGATTGAGGTCTTATAATTAGGACCAAACAAAAAGTCAAACGGGGTCTTATATTAAGAACCGGAGGTAGTACATATATATCTCCTAAGTTTTATTAAAACCATACATAACTCTCCATCACACAAAGAATAAATTACATGATTTCCTCGAAATTATATAAATATATTTTTAAAAAACACACAAAAATCCCTTGAAAATAACAAAAAATGCTTGTATCATACTAAATATTATACGTTAACAGATATCTGTGCAATTTACCACCTTTAAACCTAAATTTGGGGGTTGAGTAATTTGATTTGATCCTAACTATAAAATCCTAACATCTTTTATCTCTCAAATTTATCATCATTTTTTCAAATTATTCTTATTAATTACACACATTAATATATGCGTAGGAAAATCAGACATTTTCATGAACTAGAATCTTGTCCCTGTGCATAGCCCGGATCCGTGGGCATTGTTCGATATGATCTTTGAAATACAAAAACAAAGAACTACATTTATGATGATAAATCATTATATTTATATTTCTAATTGTATAGTTTTTAATTTAATGAAATATATTTTGCAGGATTTAATTAGAGGGAAGGGAAGTTATTGATTAAAAAAACTTTCGAACATCCATAGCTACATAGACACTTATTTTGCTTTACTAATTAGATTAAATAACCATATACTCCTCCGGTCCTAATTATAAGACCCAATTGACTTATTTGAGGAGATTAAAGTAGTTAAGTTGGTTATTTATAATAAATAAGTGTTGTCATTCTTAAAATATCCTTGCTAATTATATATTGGCTAAAACTATCATTATTAGAAGGATTATCTTGAAAAAAATGCATAAATATAATAGACAAAATGGATTGGGGTCTTATAATTAGGACCAAATAAAAAGTCAAATGGGGTCTTATAATAAGGACCGGAGGAGTACTACGTCTGGTCTTTATAAGAGTTCGTTTGACTTTTATTTTAATTTTAAATATAAAATCCCATTCTATTTTGTCTATCATATTTATTCATTTTTTCCCAATGTAATCCATGTAATAATAGTAGTTCTAGCCAATATATTTGATTAGTAAGGATATTTTATGAAAATAATACCTATTTATTATAAATATCTAACTTAAATATTTTTTTTTAATTTACTCAAATTAAATATTTTTTTTTAATTTACTCAAATTAGTTAATTACTATTTATTATAAATATCTAACTTAAATAGTTTTTTTTAATTTACTTAAATTAGTTAATTAATTCTTATATTAAGAATTGGAGGTAGTATTTATTTAACAAATTTAGCTGTTGGTCCTTAAAATATTAAAAATTCCTCGCGAATACTTGCAGTCATTTCTAAGTGAGCTGAATTGGTTGCTGATGATGACAATAATAGAATGAAAGGTTTATTGCGGAGATTTTAATTACATAGATTTTATTAAATGTAGTGGCTTTTTGCTTGTTTTCATTGAATACGTAATTAATGGATAGATATCATAGTGATAATTAATAACGCAATATGAAAATAATACTGTGACATGATGCTTTCATTCAGGCATATATATAAAAATATAGTAATTAGTAAATATCCCAAAAATAATAAAAGTATGCTTTGGTCTGGAACATCAACTCTGACCCACACATAACAAATTGAAAAGGGCACACACTGAAGCACTAGTGGATTAATTATTATTGAAGCAATAATAATCTTAGCTTAGGTATGAGATAACATCAAGCAAAGATCTAGTGGCATGATTAGCCACACAAATTGATATCTAATCTATAAAACTTTAAACTTCTTTTTTTAAATATCAAATTCAATGAGATAATGATGGATCCAAGGTTGTGGTCGGTAAAGAAGAAAAAGAAAGGCTTGAAGTTGATACTATAAATTCAGGTATGATCCATATTTTAGTATTTTGCTAATTTTTAGCCAATCTCTTGTCGTGTCTTTCATTTTCACCCTTTGGTATGAAAATGAACTTATGTGAAGCAACATTACCAACTCATGCAAAGGTGGCTGTTTACATTTAACTTTTTATTTATTCCTAAGATACTGCCCCGCGCAAATTGTAAACGGAAGAGTTACTTATGATTTAACAAATGACAAATTTGAATTATTTACCTTTTAATCCTTCAAGTTTAAGAAAAATTAATTGGGTTCTAGTAATATATTAATGTAAGGAAATAGTTTGTCTAATTCTCGATATAGAAGTTACTTAACTAGTTTGACTATAATAAAGAAGTCAAATAAATTGGTTAATTATATTTTTATCAACAAATAAATTAGATTATTATAAGACATTTTACAGGATTTCCCTAAATATGTTGTATAACATTACATTATACAGTAGTTTATAAATTATATAAATTAGTTTGAACAAAATGATGACTATGAGAAATAGAGTGAATTAAAATCTTATGTTTAGAATCAAATCCAACTAATTCCTATATTAGGATCAGGAGAGAGTATATTCTTATTAATAATACTAATTATTATATAATTATTAAAAAATGCATCTTTAGCACTGTATATGTTTTATATTTACATCAATAAGTACCAATTAACCTACCATGAAGTGAACGCAATGACAAGGTGACAGAACGTGTTAAAAAAATGTAAGTAAATTGCACTTTAAAAATTTTCATAAAGAACTCTTAAATTTTTTATTTTATGCAGATATTTTTTTTCACATTATCAATTAATATTTCACTTATGGAATGTAGCATGTCAACAACGATTAGCACCCTTAAAGTTCATTCTTCTAAATTTTAGACCATGCAAATAAATACTACCTTCGGTCCTAATTATAAAAGCTAGTCGACTAATTTGAGACAATTAAGAAAATAAGTTAAGTTAGTTATTTATAATAAATATGTATTGTTTTTCCTAAACCTTACTAATTAAGTGTATTAGCTAAAACTACTATTGTTAGAAGGACTATCTTAAAAAAAATACATAAATCATGAGAGACAAAGTGGATTAGGATTTATATTTAGAACCAAAATAAAAATTAAACAAAGTCTTATATTAAGGACTGGAGGTAGTACCTAAGAAGTCATAAACTTCAAATAGATATGTGTTAACAGTTTCCCGTCGATTAATGGAATAGCATGTTAGTTACTCGCCGAGGGTTATTAGCAGATTTTAAATTTTCATTTTTTTTAAATCTTAAAGTTTTAAAAATTAAATATATCGAGATACAACCCCAAATTTACTGAACTTTTTTTTTCTTGCTAAAGTATAGGTATTCTTTTATTGGAGGCAATCCTATTTGAGACACCGTTATGTGAAAATTTACTGAACTTGTATGCAAACAAAAGTGACTGATTCATGACATAAAGTTTGGGGCAGACAAAGGTATATATGCATTCTTATCGTAAAGCAAACAAGAAATTTTTTTTTCCCTACCAGAGAAAGTTATCCTTCTTTTGTGGTTGGATAATTTTCTAGATTCTTCTTAATACATTTCTATTCGCTAAAGAAAAGATTTAATAGGAAATCCAGCCATGAACCAATCCGACTTGATTTAAATTAGTTTAAAATACACCTTTCTGTAAAATCACCCAGTCACAAAGAAGATAAAAAGCCTATGTATGATAATAGGGAACAAAAACATCCTCAAAAAGGATTCTCGTTCACTTTTGCCCACTTAAGACAAAACGGCTGCCAAAGAGATAGACGGCAAGCTGATGAAAGAATTAAGTATTTTTGTGCATATGAACCAAACCGGGCCAGGTGGTCTGTGAATCTAAAGCCCAACCCGGACAGACATTGAGTGCGGGGTTTTTGAACCAAAGGCCCAGTTTGCGAGTTAAGGATATCTTGCCCGCAAGCTAGCTCCTGAGAGGGTTTTAAATTTCATGACACCCAAATATTAGACATTGAAACAAACAAATGTTACCATTCGATTTCTTTGGATTCTATTGAAAATCAGACAAGCAATGTGAGCTTCTTACAATGTTTTCAAAATAGTTCAGGCCACACCAACAACCTTGTAACCTATTGACATGAAAACTTCTTGATACGAAGGTGTGAGTTCATTCTTTCTTCTAACTTCAAACTGTTAGTACCTGCCCCTTTAAATTAAAAAAAAAAAGAAAAAAAGAAAGGACACCTCATAGTTTTCTAATAAAGCCTGAGGATTTATAATTATTAATTTGAATGTGAAGTAAGCCACTGTTTGCCAGATTTCACCCAGTAATATATTTTAAACGCGCAATGCAGAATTTAATGAAGAAATGATCAAGAACATGAATCCATTATAAGAACACTAATAGACGGAAGCTTGAATAATCTGGCTATTTACAAGTAACTAAGCAAGCAAATCAAGCATAACGCAAGGAACGAGTCAATGAATACACAGATAAAACAAGCAGATAATGAACTTAAATTTTGAACCTGAATACCTTAAATGCACTTTCTACAAGAAAATGACATGGAATATATATGCATAACACAAAAGGGATGGGCAACCTCTGCATATATTTATTGAACTATGACATAGAAATGCTTTCTCGTGCTAAGGCAGCAGCATCTTCTCTCTTCAATATACAACTGACCATCTTCCCCAAATTGCATCTTAGACAGAACAGTACTTGGGTGCAGCTACAAAATAGAAAGAACTTGATTCCATTGTGTTTTTTTGGTAGCAGAGGCAACAAAGAAATGAAGCAGGCTGTAATGAGTATTTTAGGAATGTAACTCAATTGACAATTAGCATATTCTAAACAACCAGGTTCAAAGAATCTACTCCATAAGACGACACTTAAATTCAGATGAAAATTTGACACCCAGTCTTCCTTCTGGATGCAGAAACGAAAAAAGAAATTAGAAAAGGTGGAACTCAGAACATGTTGTGACAGTCAACATTACAGCAGTCATACAATGCAATCAAAATTCTGACTGTCAACGCAAAGAACATAAGAAGCATTATCGACAAAGGCAAGAGTTAAAAACGATTTAAAAATATATCATGCTAGACTCCCAGATGGAACAAAGACCAAAAAAGAAATAAAGAAAGAAAAAACCAAAGATTTGAAGATTTTTGGAGATTTGAAACTTAATTTGAAGATTTATGAGTATTTTGTTTTGATTAGTATTCTGCTACTCAAATGCAAATTCTGCAAGAAGCATATGTGAGCTCAACTAGTTTTCCACAAGCTCACTCAAGGTTGCCTTGGTCCAAACAAGCTACAAGTCCTCTAGATTTTGAGATCAGATCCATCCCCCAGGCTACTTGGAAAACTGAGGCTAGTTTGCTTTCACCAGATCAGCTAAAGTGGTTTCCGAATAATTAAGTTCACCTCCTGAATTAAGAAGCAGCGCTTCCCAGGCCCTAGCTCCTGGGGCAAAACTTTGTGCTAAAAACTTCTTCATCAATTCCAATGCTTCAGTAAACAAGCCCTGTTGGCACATCTCATATATTATATTATCCAAGGATGAAGATAGTGGATAAAAACACTTCTCTAACATTTCGTCCAATAAAGAGCATGCTTCAGTAATCTCAGCTTTACCAACCAGACCATCAAGCAAGATCCTATACGTATGCAAGTTGAGCTCAATCCTTTTCATCCTCATCTCCTTTACAAGTTGCCTTGCCCTACCTAATTCCCCAGCCTCGCTTAAGGAAGCCAATAAAGTGTTGTAAGTAACCACATTTGGATTGCATCCCAAATCTTCCATAGCAGAAACTATCTTAAGCGCCTCTTCCACATCATCCTCTTTACACAAGCAATTTATGTACACGTTATAAGTATAAATATCAGGAACAAGTCCTAAAACAAGCAATTCGTTGAACAGTTCATGTGCTTTCACATAATCCCCTTCTGCAACAACCGCACTTAAAACCATGGTATAACATATAATACCAGGCTTGACTCCATCTTCTTTCATCTGATTCAGGATACCCAAGGCATCCCTACCTCTTTCTTCCTTGACCAAGAACCTAATCAAATTGGAATAATCTATCATACTGGGACAAAATCCGAACTGCTTCATATCTCCCCATACACGCAAAGCCTCCATAGAAGTCAAATCATTTTGGCCACACAACGACGATATTATCAAAGAACAAATCTCATCCTCCAGATGGTAGCCATCATCTATCATACAATAAAACATCTCAACGGCATAACCCAACTTATTATATCCACATAAACCCTCGATCAAAACTCCAAAAGTCGACTGTTCAATTCGGATATTCATATCCCAACTCTTCAACAAAATCAGCGGAACCAATTTGAGACATTCTCGATTTCCACAAAGCACTGAGAGCAATAAGTTCAGAGAACAAACAGTTGGAACGCACCTGAATCTAGGGATTCTGTAAAACAGATCAATGGCCTCTTGAAATTTACCAACCCGACCATAAACTCTAATAAGATAGCCGAAAATGAACTCGGGTGTTTGGAATTTCTCGACGCGTTCCAGGCGGTCTAGAACTGGAGGAATCTCGTCCAACCTTGAGGTGTGGGAAAGGGTTTTGATGAGGAAGTAGTAGGCATCAGGAGTAGGGTCACAGTTATAAGTTTTGAAAGAGTGGATGAGAGTGGAAAGAAGAGAGGGAATGTTAAGGTTGTCGTTTGATGAAGCTATGGTCGGGGTTGTTGTCGCCGCTGCCTGTACGAGGACTCGCATAGCCTGATCTTGGCCAAAGTTGTGGTGCCAGAATGTCTTGTAAGGGGAGTGTGGCCATTTTCTGAACTTTCTGAGATATTTGTTGGAACTCTTAGATAAAGGGTTTCTGACCATAATGGTAATACAGAGAGAAAACAGGCAAAATCCCACACCAGAATCTGAAATTCGTGTTACTGTTTAGGGACCTTGCAGCATCCGAGGACAAACCAATTCGTCCTCAGAGTTCAGAGGGTTGAAGCGAACGCATTAAATTACATACAACACAAACATGACCATCCCTGCCACTTAAGATTCTGGAAGAGAAAACTAATTCGGATGTTCTTGTAATTTTGCGAACTTTTAATCAGTCTTTGAAATTCTCTTCTTTTTCATTAACTGCTTTTGACAGGGACGAACAAGCCCTGGACGAGAAATACTTAGTAGTCCCAGAGTACCACCAGCTCATTTAAACTCTGCCCAATTAAAATACTCCAATTCAGATAATTTTAATCCATGTGTCTGTCTATTATTTTTAGGGAAAAAGACAGAAAAATAATAGATTAACTTGGGAATGATAGAAACGTCTGTTGAATTTGTAAAATCTCATTTTGGTCACATGAGACCAAATTAGAATTATCCTGTTAAATGAAAAGACTAAATTACTTTTTATTTTATTAATTTTTTTAAAAATACCAAAGCTTCCACTGGCCCGCTGGTCGTTGGAGGCCAACAATTGGTCACCGGAGCTCTGGCGATTGGAAACAATTTTTTTGAAAATTTTTATAATTTCAGTATAACGGTTAACCACTTTTGTAATACTATTAACAACTTCAGTATAACAGTTAACAACAGGTTTTTTAAGAAATTCAACAAGCTTCGGCAGCCGGAAACAATTTTTCAAAAAAATTTTACAACTTCAGTATAACGGTTAACAATTTTTGTAACGCTATTAACAACTTTAGTATATCAGTTAACAACAGGTTTTTCGGAAAATTCAACAATTGGTCACCGAAGCTCCGGCATCTGGAAACAATTTTTTTGAAAATTTTTATAACTTCAATATAACAGTTAACAACTTTTGTAACGCTATTAACAATTTCAGTATATCAGTTAACAACAGGTTTTCTGAGAAATTCAACAATTGATTGTTGGAGCTCCGGTGGCCAGAAACAATTTTTTTGAAAATTTTTACAACTTCAGTATAACGGTTAATAACTTTTGTAACGTTATTAACAACTTCAGTATAGCAGTTAACAATAGGTTTTTTGGGAAATTCAACAAGCTCAGGCGGACAGAAACAATTTTTTTGAAAATTTTTACAATTTCAGTATAACAGTTAACAACTTTTGTAACGCTATTAATAATTTCAGTATAACGATTAACAACTTTTGTAACGCCATTAACAACTTCAGTATAGCAGTTAACAACAGGTTTTCTGATAAATTTAACAAGCTCCGGTGGCCGAAAATAGTTTTTTTGAAAATTTTTACAATTTCAATATAACAGTTAACAATTTTTGTAACGCTATTAATAACTTTAGTATATCAGTTAACAACAAGTTTTTCAGGAAATTCAACAATTGGTCGCTGGAGCTCCAGCAGCCCGAAACAATTTTTTTGAAAATTTTTATAAATTCAGTATAATGGTTAACAACTTTTGTAATACTATTAACAACAGGTTTTTCGAGAAATTCAAAAAGTAGCATTTTTACAACTTCAATAATGCAGTTAACAAGTTCCGTAACTCTATTAACAATTTCTGTATAGCATTTAACAACATGTTTTCTTAAAAATTCAAAAAAATTGCATTTTTACAACTTTAACAACTACTTTTTTTTTGAAAATTTTTATAATTTCAGTATAACGGTTAACAACTTTTGTAATGTTATTAACAATTTCAGTACAGCAGTTAACAATAAGTTTTCCGTAAACTTCAAAAAGTAGCATTTTTACAACTTCAGTAATATTGTTAACAAGTTCTGTAACTCCATTAACAACTTCGGTGTAGCATTTAACAACAAGTTTTCTTAAAAATTCAAAAAAATAGCTTTTATAACTTTAACAACTTTTTTTTTTGAAAATTTTTACAACTTCAGTATAACGGTTAACAACTTTTATATCTTTGTTAACAATTTCGATATAACAATTAACAACAGGTTTTTCGGGAAATTCAAAAAGAAGCATTTTTAATTACAATTTCAGTAATGTCATTAACAAACTCAAAAACCTGACCGCTATACTGAAGTTGTTAATAGCATTACAAAAGTTGTTAACTGTTATACTTAAATTGTAAAAATTTTCAAAAAAATTATTTTCAGCCGCCGAAGCTTGTTGAATTTCCCGAAAAACTTATTGTTAACTGATATACTAAAGTTGTTAATAACATTACAAAAGTTATTGACTGTTATATTGAAGTTGTAAAAATTTTCAAAAAAATTGTTTCCGACCACCAGAGCTTGTTGAATTTCTCAAAAAACCTATTGTTAACTGCTATATTGAAGTTGTTAATAGCGTTACAAAAGTGGTTAACTGTTATACTAAAGTTGTAAAAATTTTCAAAAAAATTATATCTGACCGCCGTAGCTCCGGTGACCAATTGTCGGCTGGTTGCCGGAGCTCTGGTGACTACCGCTGCCATAGCTTCGGTGACCGGCCGATCAGTGGGAAGTTTGGTATTTTAAAAACAAATAAAATGAAGGGCAATTTGGTCTTTTCTTTTAACATGATAATCCTAATTTGGCCTCATGTAACCAAAATGGGATTTTGCAAATTCAGCAAATGTGTCTGTCATTCCCAAGCTAATATGTCATTTTTCTGTCTTTTTCCCTTATTTTTATTAATTTGTTGTTTAAAAAAACACGAAAATGCCTAAGATATTGTGATTTCCATTACTGCCTCGCTTTCCTCTTTCTCAATCCTTCTCTCTCCCTGATCTCCGTCTCAAACTCTCTCCCCTCTCTTCATCACCCCATTTTTCTGTCATTTCTCAGTGACAGTGGCGGCATCTTCTGCATTAGCAACTGCGACCCTTTCTTTTGTATTTATTTCTTATCTTGACCATATGCTATACAGTTTGATTTTTGAATAAATGGTCCCGATCTTCAGCGTTTTATGCGCACTTCTTGAATTAAATTAAAGATCTTTCCTCAAACAAGTCTAGAAACAAAAGATAAATAGTAATTTCCATTCCAGAAGCTTGAACTTGTATGAAAAGAAGGCCGTTAATTATTTTACTTACTGGCTAGAATCTGCAATTTCTTGGAAGGTCATTTCATTTGTATTTCTAAAATTGAAAACAATAGGATTTAGATTCCATGCCAAAAACTGAAACACCCATGAGCATTGAAGAACCTAGAAATCTAATTCACAGCCATGGACATTGAAAAACCCAGAAAAATGAACAAGGGAGGAGAGAGAAAAAAAATCTATTGGTAGTTCAGATTTGCATCGCAAGTGGCAGAGGCGACAATGAAAAAGCAACAGCTTTGTTGATTCAGGTCTGCAAAGTGGAAAGGGGGGAAAAGACAACCGTGCCGGACTTACAACCTTTCGTCTAGCATTCAACCTGTAGACGGGTTCTGTTAAGTCACCATGTAAGAGATGGTGGTGGAAACGAGAATCCCCGTGGCTGCTAGTAGATTACGTAGCCGCCGTCACTGGTGGAGAATCACTGATGGGGGAGAGTTTGAGACGCAAAAATGGGTAGGGATTGAGAAACAAAGAAGGAAGGGCAGCAATGGAAATCACAATTCATTAGCCCTTTTTATTTTTTAAAAGCAACATATTAACAAAAATGAGTAGGCTGACATGTAGGCTAAAATTATCTGACTTGGATCATTTTTATTGGGTAGCATTTAAACGAGGTGGTACTCTTAGAGTACCGAAGTATTTCTCACTCTGGACAGATGTTAGAAGAACTAACGTGGCAGACAGGTGGATAATTTTGACTAGGTGGAAAAAAGCAGGTCAGTTGAGCCTCATTCTCGACTCTGTTCCCATCTTCTCTGCTTCCCTTCTCGTCCAATATCACAAATTTATAACAGCGTTGTTCATTCAACCTTCAAGCAACATCATTAGAGCAGGTCGTGCTTGATGAAGCCATTTGCAATGGAACAAGATCAACCAATTGATCTCGAGCTCAATTTTGTAGGAATCAAATCCATTTTCAGACCCTTCCCACCCAATGCCAAAAATGACCAAAGCTCAACGCCTACTTCGTCTGCCACACACGATGTCAGGACGAGTTCAAAGACTAAGCAAAATACGGAAAAAGAAATAAGAGTTTGAGAACCAAAATCCCTTACCTTGATCGTCGGCGATCTTCCACCACATGGACGACGGCGAATCGCCAATCTTCTCTTCTCCCTTCTCTCCTCTATGTTAAAGAACTCACCTTAATTTTTTAGACTATTATGGATTAGAAAAAAGAAAATCCATTACCTTTCGTTAATTTTTTAGACTATTATGGATTAGAAAAAAGAAAATCCATTACCTTTCGTGGTTTAGCGGCTAGCAGGGGTGGGGGCAGGTTAGATTAGGCAGTGAGAGTTGAAAAAATCCCATGTAATAATGGTATTAACTATTATTTTTTAATTTTTTTATTCTGTAAATATTTTTTATACAGTATAGAAAAATATAATAAAATTTTTTATCTTTTTGTCAAATACTTAATTGACAACAACAAACAAATGCTATAGATATTTTTTTTAAAATTCTTTAGATTGAATATAAAGTATAATAATATGCATATGATAATTAATAAAATTTAAAAAATACAAAAAAAAATGTTGGTTGGCAGGTTAACCCACAGTGGGTTGTGGGTTAGACAGTATAGGTTGAAAAGTTTTGTTTACCGGTGGGTTGACTTTTAACCAACTTTAACCAACTATTTTTTTATGAGTTGAGGGGTTGGACTCACAGGTCTAACCCATATTACTAGCTCTAACAGCTAAAGACAGTCGTATAAAATTAGAATTATTTGCATTTTTGCACATGCCACTTTATTCTACTTTTAACACATTTTAAGAAGTACTCTTTTGCTCCTAAATATAAATATTATAGTACAAATTATATTATAAAATAAATTTTATGAAGAGCAGTGGCGGGATGAAAGTCCGCTTGAGGTCTGTTGGATCTAAGAGTCTAATGTGGTATCAGAGTCTTGGTTGCAGGGAGGGTGAAGAGCGGTGGGATGAAAATTTCATATTGCCTGAAATCCTGACTGCCACAGGGTTTAAATATCCTTTGGATACCTCCTACTTAAGAACTAGTTTTTGGGTTGGATCCAAGAGCCCAATG